CTACATTGGTTTCAATTTGGAAATCATTAACAGCACCCAATATTGATAAGTTACTTCAAAAAGCTAAAGCTGCATATACAAATAATAAGTTGGAAAAGGCTTTGAACATTTATACACAAATATTACAAGTTGAACCCACAAATTGCCAAGCACTGTGTAATAGAGCAATGATAAAGATAAAAATGAAAAATTTTGGAAAAGCTCTGTTTGATATTGAGACAGCAATAGAAGTAGACAAAAGTTATTATGACCCTTGGTATTTAAGGTTAATGGCACATTTATGTTTGGGGAATAAGAAAGGGGTTAAACAAGATATTGAGCATAAACATTCGGATATGCAAAAAAAAGCATTCAATGTTATTAATGAATATGTAAACAAACTTGAGCACTTTGATGTGGAATGGTTTAAACTCCTTGTGGATAGTTGTCCTCATTATGCTATGAATAAATCAGATGATATCAATCGATGGCAATTACTATGTAGCCATCAGTATGGAACAGATGATTATGCCAGATGGTACAACACTGCTACGAGTTGGTATAACACGTATAACAATACTCCGCGTAACCGCAAGAATACAAACGCGTTTTTTGAAAAAGTTTTTTATATGCACAAAAGTAAGTATAAGGGGTTGGCAATGATTACATAATTATATATTATTATGCATACTAATTTACTATTATTATTAGGTCATTTGAAAGCACATTTTTTATATGAAAGTCATGTTGATGATATCAATGAATGCATAACGTAAGTAATTTACAATAACTATTTTGTTAAACTGTATTACTACTAACATCTACCATTTAATAGTCACTATAATTATGGATATTTATCCCTTTATTCAAGGAATAAAGTAAGTGTATATATAGTAAAATCATTATTATTATACGTTGTGAATATTAACTAATAAACAGTTATATATTAGGTAACAATACCAATATTCAAAGTACTTCCGAATAAATACAAACTCGGCATTTTGTTGGGGAATATAAATTGGAAGTCAATGACGTTAACGATTGTAGTAAGTATAAGTATTCAAGATAATGTTGTTGATTATAGTCATTATTGTATGTATAAATGAATGTTTTTTATTGTAGATAAAAACATCAATCGAAGAAATACAATATACGATGGACATCAAACATAATGACTACCATGCTGAATACATTTTACCATGCGCGGTTAACGTTTTGTCTGAAGATGACATTATTATAGACATTGTTACTCACGTAAGTACGGTTTATTTATTCCTTATTTATTATTATGTGTATTAGTATTTAATATTAATTGTTTCTAACTCTAATTCTTACGTTAGTTTGAAACAAATCTTTATTGGGTTTGTTTATATTCAGAAGACAGGTTAGATACTATGGAACGTAACTTGAAGATTGAAACATTTTCAAATGGTGTGAAAATGATTGACTATTACTATAGGCAATATTATTATCTTTATTACAAACATAGGATATATGATTACTGAACATTGTTGATAAGCACGCGTGTAATCTGCTACAGTATTGCAATATTAATATGCAACTGTGTTTAATATCACACACCTTACGTGAAATTATTATTCTTTTGTCTCCTTTTTTTTTTCGTACTGCTATTCTTTAGAAGTTACGCTATAGCCTTTATATGGTTACAGTTACTTTGTTATAAATCTGAATCGACTTTGTACTTGAGTAGATAATTAGTGAGACGTTGAAATTACGAAATATTTATATAATAATAAAACACAATCGATGATTGCTACCATGTTTTCGAAAAATTTCAAAATGTTTGATTTTGGAAACGGAAGTTCTCTATAACAATTTCATTAAGTCGCATTCTTTATTGTCTACAGGCTAAAGGTGCATCCGTAATAGCTTCTTCCGTAATATATACTATTCTTTCTTTGCGGAAGGTGAATTTCTTTATATTTTCCAACGGTTTATTATTTTTTAAACAGACAGTACATTGAAGTTTTGTCACTTTTTATCATATGTATTTCTAACATTAAAAAATCTAATGAAAAAACAGCCCGTATAGTGCCTTCTCTCAATGAAAAATATTTGCTCAATAACCCAGTTCTGCCTTTTTGGTTTGCCATCAATAGATCGAGCGACAATATGCGCATTATGTCCCCTACTTATAAGATAAAAAAAGAAATTCCACATTTACAGTATGCTTGATCCCGTTGTAATCGCTAGATATACTGTAAGCAAGGCGTTTTGCAAGAGGTAGAATTACTATAGCGATTTGAGTAATGTACGTGAGACCAAAGTCATGATTATTTTTCATAAAGTGTTACATCTATATTATCATTATTACATTAGCAATTATCAGAAAAGTTAAGGTGTAAGGCCTTCAAATTTCATTCCCATTTCTTAAGAACCATATTAATATGGAAATTGCGGAATAAAGCGGGTGTGACAAACGCGGGATAAATATGATCGACGACACACACCCGTGTCGATGATGGCAGACGAAATTCACTCAACGAGACTTTTCGGCATCGAATCAGATGCTAGCTTAGGATCTTTAGGCTTGTACTGTCAAACGACCTGGTATCGGCCCAAGTTTATGCTGAAATAGAGACGTGTTTACCAACAGACTTGGTTTGTGAAGTCGTCCTGACAGACTGTACTAGGCTCTGGGAAGCTAAAGGTAGAGGCTGACGCCCTTTTTGTACACATTTATTTTTTGTAGTACTCATCTACGATATACTGAATAATGCTGCTGGCGTGTCAAAGGGCTCAAAGGAAAAGCAGCTTATAGTTATCCATGGGCTCTTAAGTGGACAGAAAATAGTCGATGGTAGACCACGTCAAATCAGAACAAATAGTCACTATGAGGTATGCTTAGATAGAATAAGATACGAATATTTTCTCTCTTTTGCCGAGTAAATAAATCTAAAATTGAGTGCATTTTAGCTTGTGTTTTTAGTTGAAGGGCGAGAAGGCGCTAGCAAATCAAAGCGAGACGAACAAATGGTGACCCGTCGCTGAGATTCCATTAACAAATTGAATATTCGCAGTTATCGTGGGCATATGGAAACTTCACTTGTATCCAGTGAACGATCGACATCTATGTGGAGAGAGTTGGTGAATAATACAACCAAACAGATCAATTTTGTAGAGGTATCATGTCGATTAACAACAATTTATGCGTCATGCTGAAACGAGCCTTGGGACACTGTACTAACAGTATAAATCGATACTAGGAAGCAAATGCAAAGTTCGAGGAAGAACTAAAAGAAAGAGATTGTCGAATGCCGAAATGACAAACGCAATAGCGAGAACGTCTGTACAAGAACGGGAGAAGGAACTATTAAGTCAGGTACACATTGATGAGAATATTCATTTTCTGTACAGATTTGTCATGGAGACCCATACGCTTCAAACGCGTTCTATAGTTTGCGGTCGTATTAAATGAAAGAAAAGAAATTCAGGAAACTGCTCAAATTACTGGAAAGTCGAGGTATGTAAGCTGTAGAAAACGTGTATCGCTGTGGATCTTTGATAGGAGTATATCCGCCCAACTGTCAAATTTGTCAACTTCAAGAAATTCATCACACTTCTCGCCAAGATATTTATTTGAAGCAGTGTTTTTGATCCGTTCTTCTGCCGTATAAGGTTTTGGTTTGAAGACATGCGTAAAATAGACGTGTGGTCTGTTGATTGGAAAAATACTCTTTGTACACACTATACAATGATCTAATAGTTAATGGTCTTGCAAAATCATTCTGGCATATCAACAGAAGATATCACTGTGCCTTCATCGATAGTGAATGAAGAAATGTCTGAAGAACCAAAGACCACGAAAAGAAAGGCGGCACCCAAACGTAACTCTACCAGGGCGGGGCG